TTCCACTAGAAAAATCCTTCGACAAGCAAAACGCACGGGTTGGAGGGCCTTCTGTGAGTCTATTACAACCTCTACCAGTATCTCCACACTGTGGCGATTTGTTAGAAGATTTAAGAACAGATTTCTTAATACTATTCCCTCTCCTTCTCCCTTTTCAAATGATATCTCACCTGAAATTTCTGACCTCATTAACTCTATCTCCCCTCCTTCATGTCTTTATAAGCTTTCTCTTACTCACCTTTTTTCGAACTATTCTTACTCTTGTCGCATTTTCGACTCTCCCTTTCAGCTCGAGGAACTCCACCATGTTATCTCCGCTCTCAAAAATAAATCCTCTTCCCCCGGAATAGATCAAATAGATTATTTTACGCTTTCTTGCCTTCCCACATCTTACCTCTCAATTTTTCTTTCTATTCTAAACAACCTCTTTTTTGCGGGTGAATTCCCCGATTCATGGACCCATTCACTGATTTTCCTAATTCCAAAATCTTCACCAGGAAAATTTCGTCCTATATCACTCACCTCTTGTTGTCTTAAAATTATGGAAAAGCTTATCCTCCTCAGACTCGACTGGTGGATGGAAAGATACGAAAAATTACCTTCCTCTCAATTTGGTTTTCGTAAATTTCGTTCTTGTCAAGACAACCTTTCTATACTCACTACAGAAATACATACCAGTTTTATCTGAGGCACCTTCACCGCATGCCTCTTCTTAGATCTTTCCAACGCTTTTGATGATGTCATTCCTTCTATACTCATCTCTGACCTTGTAGATCTTGGTATGCCTCTATGCCAATTTATTTACTCACTTATCCACTTTCGCAGATTACAATTCGTAATTAACAGCGAGCTCTCAGATACTCGTTTCTCCTACAAAGGAGTTCCACAAGGCTCTATCCTTAGCCCTATCCTCTTTAATATCTACCCAATAAGCAAAATGTAAGCAGTATGTCGACAGACTGGCAACAGATTTGATCAAACCATGTCAGCAGAATGACATCTACTGCGTCCTCATTCTGCTTCTAATCTGCTAGCAGAACCTGCTCACAGAATCGGATATCAGATTGTCGGCAGAAACTGAGCAGGATCTGCTATCAATGCTAACATGACTTGATGTCAGACTGTTAGCAGAAATCGAACAGGATCTGCGCGTGCAATTTGATGGCAAATGGACAGCAGAAATTTCACAAGATTTGCACTTTTATTAATATTATATAAATGCAACAAAATTGATTATTACAGGTGCTAAATAACAATATTATCAGCAAGTTAATTAGAATTTTCTTATAGAAAATACATAAAAATGACATATATGTAATATGTTATATCATAGTTATATTTCATATAGCGAAGGACTAATTTCAATTCTATTTAATTAAATTAATAATAAAGTAAATGTAACTTGTAAAACTTGAGATGTAATTTATTTAGAATTAAATTCTTGCTTTATGCCTCAAATAGCCAGTGCATGAATAATTTTCCATATATTATATTGATTCCAATCAGTTTAATATTCTGAATTCTGACTCTCATTTGCTTGTATCAGATATCAGAAATTAAAGTGAAAAATTAAAATGATAATTACTATATTTTTAGTCTTTTATTCATATTCGTGACTTTATATATATTTCTGACAGAAATTCAATTACGAGAAAGTACAGCTCACGTAGCGGTAAGTGAAAGAACTATCGAATCATGCAAATCCTATTCCATTTCTGCCATCAATCTGCTATCAGAGATTGTATGCGCAGATCCTGTTCGATTTTTGCCGACAATCTGTTGTCAAATTGCATCGCACAGATCCTGTTCAATTTCTGCCACCAATCTGCCACTAAGTTATGCCGGCAGAATCTGTTCGATTTTTGCTGCCAATCTGGTAACTGATTATGTTAACAAGCTTTGTTATATTTCTGTTGACATTCTGGCGACATCACATGATATATCAGAACCTGCATCGATTCTGTAATCTTTCTGTCGACAACAATTTCTAACAGATTCCCTGACAAGATCTGCTTTAGCAGACTTGGCTATTGGGGTATATATCCAAATTACGTAAACACATAGGCGAAGATTGTGAGTTAGTACAATTCGCCGACGATATTGCTATCTTCGTTAGCTCTCCCCAAATAGATAAAGCTCTTACTGAACTCGAATCTTCTGCAAATAAAGCTATTAAACACCTCACATAAATCCATTCGCTTTTTCCATTAAGCTCGGTAATCACACGGTGGAATCAACCGATTCCCATAAATTTCTCGGTATTACCCTTGACTTTCGCCTTTCTGGCCGCAATCACATTCTCTCTCTCTCTACCCGGTGTTCCAAGCTTCTGAATATCCTCAACTGCTGAGAGGTACCTGGTGGGGGGGGTGCACCTTCATCTCTTTTAAATATCTATAAAGCTTTAATAAGGGGATCTATGGAATACGAATGGAATACCTTTCTTTCCTTTATAATAATCACTCTCTTATGCGTCATCTTGAGTGTATCCAATTGCGCGCTCTGCGTTCTTGCTTGGGCCTCCGCAAAACCACACCTACGAACATCGTTCTAGCGGAAGCTGGCGAGGGTCCCATAAGATTTTGCTTCGAATTTCTCACCTCTAAATACATTTTAAAAACATTTGCTCTTGATTCTCATCCGCTCATTGACAAACTTTTTGCTCTTCTTTGGTATTCACGCAGATCCCGCAAACGTAATCCTTCCGAAAAATTTATTTTATTCAAAGTCTTTAATGTTTATTTTCGACTCAAAACCTATATCTCAAAATCTGATTACCCAGCAGTTTACTCCATAAGTTATGATTCTCTTATATTTTTCCCTTTTGTTATCATCACACCTCCTTCTGAAGTAGAGAAAATCAAAAATGCACCCATCCCCCAGATATCCTTTATGGAAATCTATAATACGTTAATATCCTCTTCCACCTGTTTTTTTACCGATGCCTCTAAAAATAGATCCGACGACTATGTCGGTTTTGCAACCTACTCTCCCTCTCCTCATTTACAACTACTCTACAAAATTCAGTCTTATTCATCCATCTTTACTGGTGAAGCTCTTGCTATCCTCTATACTCTCGATTACATCTCACTCCATTCTATCAAAAATTCCGTCATTTTTACCGATTCCAAATCTGTTACTGAAGCTCTGCTTTCTGTCAATTTGGCGCATTCCTACAACTATGTAATTTTTGCTATCAAAGACTTTACGATATAAAATTAAAAGGATTGGATAACTCTATTGTCTGGATTCCGGCACACACCGGCATTTTGGGAAATGAAACAGCTGACATACTGGCGAAAAGAGCCATCTCCTCAGGGAAATTATCTGAAAAACAACTTCCTCATTCTGACTTCTTCTCTATCCCTCGGAGAAAATACGTTGAAGCTCCTCTCGCCTCCTCAAGATCCAAGGCAGATTTAAAGGAACGAAATATTTTGCGTCCTTCAAGGAAATCACATTAAAACCCTGGTTCCATAAACTTAAAATCAACAGAGAAAGTATCGTAACCTGCTGCAGGCTTAGGAGCGATCACTACGCTTTAAATTACAGTCTTAAACGTTGTAAACTCGTTTCAGACTCCCACTGCCAGTGTGGCTACATCATTCAAGATGCGGATCACATATTTTGGAATTGCCCGTTATACGCTGCTCACAGGACATCCCTCTTGAATCGTCTCTCAAGATACAAAGGATTATCACACCCCTACAAGATTTCAGAACTCTTAATTAATCCTCTCTCTGGGATTATTCATGCCCTAGTTTCCTTTTTAAAAGCTTGTGATTTGCATCTCTGAAAAATACCTCCTCTTGGAATGCTACCCTCTAATTGACCTCTCCTATTATACTTTTACTATTAACCCGTTGTTGGCCAGGATTTCTTGATCGACACCAGATCAGAAGAGGCCATTAAAGTCTAAGAAGAAGAAGAAGCTTTCGCACGCTGTTACCAGACTGCATACGTCAGCAGCACGCAACTACAGCTGACAGCTGAGCGGACATGTGAGTGTAAGCGTACGTGTGAGTTCGACGCCGAGTACTTTTCGAATTATGAGGTTTGAAATCATTTCTTAATTTTGCATAAACCATAAAATATCTAGTAAAATATTCATTTTTCGATTATCTTACCTTAATACTTTTATGTACAAAATAATGAGAGGAATCAATTAGTGTAAAGAAAACACATAGTTGTTTTAGAAAAAAATATGTAATTGTTAATTGTAAATTACATATTTTTTTCTTAAAAACAACTGTTTTTTCTTTACACCAATTGATTCCTCTCATTATTTTGTACAAATTATTAAGGCAGGATAATTGAAAAATGAATATTTTACAAGATATTTTACAGTTTATGTAAAATTAAGAAAGGATTTCAAGCCTCATAACTCGGAAAGTACTCAATGAAAAAATATTTAATTATAGTGTTTTGGAAAGCTTTTGAGATAAGCTACACGAATATGTAATAAAAAATGGTGAGTTCCATTTAAGAAATTGACGATGATCTTCACGTGACTTTCAAATAACTCTCCCATGTCAAATCATTGCCACTATCTGATGATCTCCTTCAAGCCATACAACTTTTGTCTGAAGCATTTCTTTCTAAAGTGCATAGTTTATGAAATATTCGACCGGAACTTTTGGAACACCCTGTATATATATATATATATATATATATATATATATATATATATATATATGTATATATATATATGTATATAAAAGAGGAGTGTTTACAACTAAAAGATTTCTTTTAGTTGTAAACACTCCTCTTTTTTTATATATACATCATACGAAAAAAAATTATGTATGTATAAATAAAATACTAAAAAGAAATTTCTACAAAACTAAAAAAATATACTATTTGTAAATATATATACACGTGTTTTATTTTTGTACACACATCAAATTTTGCAGATATACAACAGGTGCATAAAATTTATACATTATACTTATAGTAACGAGAAAAAAATATTATAAACACACCAATGAATATTTATTTATCCTCTTATCTTTATAGAAACGATTTGTATGATATAGAATATATCATAATTTTTATAGTAGATATAGAAAAAAAAAGTTTATATGCATATCCTCTGAGGAATAAATTAACAACATCCTCAAGTAGATGTAATATTTCATTTTTTAACGTATAAAAAATATTTTTTATGTACATAGAATAATATCTGTCTTTGTAGCAATCTTATTTCAATATTACAATTTTGTGCAATTAAGCAGTTTTTGACTTGCCACACATGAATCACTTCACTATAAAAACTGACAAAAACTTTGTGTTTTTAAGTGGAAGAATGCGATTTTAACCCAGGAGATTCACTTTTTTTCGGACTGGAATTGATTTCTTGTTGCTCCAGTCTACGGTGCCTCAACATTGTCGATAAGACTCCATTGAAACTAGCAGTTTTCTTCTTGGCGCTACCTTTTGGAGTACTTTCACCAACTCTACGAACGGGTAGTCTTGGCGATGACATTTCATCCATAAAGTCGAAGTCGGACTTCTCTTCGGTTCTATAAAAATAAAAGAATATTGTCAATATAAAAAACTCAATTAAGATAATCAAAATTTTGTATTAAAAACTTACTTATATTCTTGAGATCCATGTTCTTGTTGCCGATTGTTTGAGGGAACAGGGGAAGGTCCTCGTCTACCAGGACACTTCCATTCAAGTTCTAAAACATGATTATTAGCTTCCAAACCTTCAATCAATGAAACTATGTCCTCAGCCTTTATATTCCATTCATGCTATATAAATTAAAAAGAACAAGATTGTTTATAAAAATAATGCAAACTTAGATATTTACAATATAACATAAAGGTACATGATCAAACATACTAGGATTAATAAACTTTTAATAATAAATTTTTAATAATAAACTTTTTTCATTATAACTATTATAATTATTTGCAACTTATGCATAAATTGAAATTATTGTATTAAAATAGAAGCTATTGGCTACTTTTCAATATCTTTAAGAAGATTATACTTGTTTCACTTTGACACGAGTTATTACGAGGATATTTCTTCAATAAAAATCTGATTCTTGATATTTAAATTTTTGCAAGATTCTGTACAATCGCATCATACATATGTCAGGGAAACAATTTGAAAAAAGAAATCTGAATCGCTTCCTAAAGAAAAAAAAATCTTTAGGTTTGACAAAGTAAGGTGTGGTATTATTGTAAAAAAATTCATAAAAGTTTTTCTTTAGAAAAAATCTTTTTCTTGTGGATTTTTCCATAAACCAGACCCTTATTTTGTACATGAAACTTAAAAATTTCTATAATCATTTGATTAGACCTTTATAGATTATCTTGTATAGAATCTAGATCCATATTTATTTGGATCACTGAGGAAACCTCTTAGAAGAACCATAATTTCTAGATGTTGCAATCATACAGAATGTTATTCATAAATATTTAAACATTAAGAACCAGAGAACCTATTTTTAGAGGAACTCTTCAAGTTCATATACCAAGCTGGAACAAATGTATCAATTTTTTCAAAGACTATATTCACAGTTATTAAATTATATTTTAACACAATAAAATTTGTCCATAAGCGCTAAATGAAAATTGTAATAAAACACAAAAATCTTTTTATATTTAAGAATTACATTGAGAATTTTATTAATTATAAGTTATTAAGATAACAAATAGCGATAACTTTTCAATTGCTACCTTCGCATCCATTTCATATTTTTCATCATCAGAACATTCAACAGACCAGTCTTCCTCATTGCATTCCATTTTCATTAAATAATTCGTGTTAAATGACTACTCAAAAAGATATTTTCACTATGTTTCATTTAGAATATAATTGGTTATTCCCAATTTATTCACAAATTTGTTTCTTGCAAAGACCTCTCTCCCTCTCTCTCTCTCTTTATATCTTTTCTACATATCGAAAATACTTTTTTTCTTCTTCTTCAGATTTTTGGTCCACGATAACTTAGTAATGAATAAGGATCAAATTACATTGGCTATCAATGTATATATTGTTGAAAATACAATTTTCGCCTTAGCATTCTATATGATTGACAGCTGACATAGCATATAAAATATATAGACTACGACTGATATTCGGAATCCATTCTTAAGCACACTTTTCAAGCATAACAGTAAGGTTTCGACCAATCGCGTTGCTCAATTTGATCACGGACGGCCAAATGTCTTATGGAAAGTGTGTATTTTCTTAATACTTGACTGTGATTAGTCAATTTCTTGAGCTTAGGGTCTATCCAGACAAACTTGCATAAGTGCATATGCATAACATAAGACCATATGGACCAATGAGCATCGAGTATTATGTTATGTAAGTCAATATAGCGATTTAATGCTCGATGCTCATTGGTCCATATGGTCTTATGTTATGCATATGCACCTATGCAAGTTTGTCTGGATAGGCCCTAAGGGTGCGATCCCATGGACTAATATTTTCCGCGTAAAGCGTTTTGCGTAACCAATCAGAGATATTACGCATTTTCTTAAGGCTATAGCACACACTTTCCATAAGACATAACAGTAAGATGTCGACTAATGAACTCTATTAGTGCGTTCGAAAATATATTTGGTCGGTGTTGGGAAAAAAGATAAAGTTGGCAGTATTGAAAACTCCCAGTGCTGCATTTCGTTTCTCCCACTGGGATTATTAGGATTGTATTGTACCGTATGTACACTGCGCGACAACGATTCGTTCCGTGGTCCTTCTCGCGAGGCAAGGGAAGCATAGCCTCTAACCAATCAGCCATTGCCACGCTGCCAGCTGATTGGTCACTTCTACGCTCTCCTTGCCCCGCGAGAGAGGGGCCATGGAACGAATCGTTGTCGCGCAGTGTACAATATATGAAAGTGTTGCAATTACACTAATTATTATTATGGAACAATATATTTTACTCGAAAATATCATTTTTTAATTTTCGAGTAGTTTTTCTTCAGATAGTGATGATAATAATGAAAAATTACAAAATATTTTATTCGAAAATAGAGGTAATAACAACAGAGGTGAAAGGAAAATAGTATCAAAAATAACAGATTATTTGGAAAATGTTACCAGATATACAAATATTGAATTTAAATCACATTTTAGGTAAATTATGTCACTTTATTATAATTATTATTAATACAAAAACACACGTTCGTATTAATAATAATATATGTGATGTTATTAAATATATTATTATAAAATATATTTAACTACTTATTTATCTTTTTTAGGCCCGGTTTCACAACTCGAGTTAATCGGAGTTTAATACGTTAAACTGGGTCCTGATTGGTCCATTTACTACTTAAACTCGGATTAACTGGATTGTGGAACTGGGCCTTAATATCTCAAGTAGCAAATTTTTTAAATCCTAGTGATCCCAGTGGGAGAAAAGAAACGCAGCACTGGGAGTTTTTAATACTGCCAACTTTATCTTTTTTCCCAACACCAACCAAACATATTTTCGAACGCACTATATACTAAGGCACTAAATATATGAGTATTCTATACTCCGCCATTTTTAATCCATCCCCCCACCCATTCCTCCTTGCCATCTGGGCTCCGCGCTTCGTCGCGTCACGGAGCTAAAAAGGTTATAGAATACTAAACTTCGTTGTTGCGTTTTTGCTCTCTGCATTCTAAAAAAATCATCTTAATATCTATTGTAAACTAGTGCAGAACGTGGGAAGTGTTGGAGTGTTTAACAGTTATACCTAGATAAAGTACAAAATATATTAGTTTGAAGAAAAAATTGAAAATATTTATCTGCAAATAAAATGTAGTGACGTTTATTTACAAGTTACATATTTGTTTTACAGCAAGGTTTTTTAAAATGTCAAAACGAAGCACTAATCGTAGCAACAAAAATATGTTGCTTCCTGGAAAGAACAACAAGGTAATCATCTTTTTGCCTGAACTGTTTATAATCATTTACATTAAATGCTGCAATTCATTAAGTATTTAATTTTATATTATTACTTCGCTTACTACTTTCTATCAAACGAGCCATAAAATAGGAAATTGATGTCATGCGATGTAACAATTTTTGAGTTTTCAATGTCCCTTAACATCGTTAAACTGGAATATCTAATAACTACTACATATTGAAATATAATAAATGCAAAGCAATCGATTTGTCATGTAAAATTGCAAATTTAATTTAGATTAATAAAATTAATTAATGTAGTTTGCACTTTATATTATTGTCAATCTTTCGATTTTGTGTTTATATTTAATCTTCTGATATAAATATGATATAAATATGTAGTATAAACGTGTATACTTTAATTCATTTCAGAGCTATAAAGATGAAGATATTGTTGAACCAGTTTCAGAAGAGAGCATTTTGTTGATGATGGCAGAAAATCAATCTCTGAAACAACAGTTGGAGAGACTACACATAATAATAAAACAGTATTCTCATTGCCCAGCAGTTGTCGAATACCTGCAGAAATATAATGTAAAATAATTCATTGATGTGCAATATTTTTGGTGTTTCGTACATTTATATTGTATTGATTGTATATATTTGACATTTGGAATAATACTAGGTTTCTGTATCAAGTTTTTGTAATAGATTGCGAAAATTATTTCCTCAAAGTATTTACTATGATCAGAATTTTAGGAAACGTATGTAATAAATCGAATATATTGTAATGTATCAAACATTTCTTTATTTATCTATTATTTATGTACAATGTTTTTAACATTTTAACGAACAGCTTTAAAAATATATATTATATAAAATATTATATAAAAATACATGTAAACATTATGTAAGTAAACTGAAAATAATACACTTTTTAAGCGGCTTTGAAAAATTTTTTATATTAAAAAAAATTCATATTAATATTTTAAAACATAATAATTTTTTATTTTATGATCAGAAAACATTTTAATTTGTTCTTAAGCTTTTGACCGTTTCAAACTCGCGGTAAACATTTTTCCGTTTTCTACTATTTTCTGAAAAATTCTTGGTACAATAACACCGAACATTAAAAAAATGTTTCACAATTTTTGTTTTCACATCACAACAATTTGGAAAAACAATATTGACGTATTTTACCAGACGTTCTATCAAAGTGAAGCTTCCGTACATCAAGATATGCTCTTTGTAAATTTTGAACATATAATCGCAATGTAATATTAGATGAAACGTTTCTAAACACGGCTCTTTTAGGCCACCGTAGTTTAATGCACTGGTATACTGTTTCGCTTTTCGAGTAAAATCATTGTCGGATAAATTCTTGCGCAATACAAATGCTATACAATGTTCACAAATGTGTTTCATAATCGCATTTGTAGCACAACCGGCTAAATGAAATAAATTTTTTGCGTCATAATCAGATACAGTGTTGCTGAATTCATCAAAGGAAAATGTACTTATTTGGATTTCGTCGAAAATGTTTGTCTCGACAGCCGCAGTAAATGTCGAAGACTTTTTTTTAGAATTTAATATCTTTTTAGCTTTACAAACATCGAGTAAAAAGTTGTCTGAGTCATCACAATAATTCGAACGTGCAACACTGGATACGAATTGTGACACACTAATGCTTTTTATAGAACGCAAACATTGTAGCGCAGTTGGCATTTTCCCTTCTTTGTTTCTTATTTGCGAAAAAATGTTTTCCGTCGCATCCTGCGTAAAACGATGCCCTAATACGAAATCAAATGCATTCTTAAATAAAAATTCTACGATGTCGCAAAAAGATAACGTTGACAATACCAACGCATAATTTAAAGGCTTCCAGTGTTTCTCAAAAACAGTTTCACGGCATGTATCTATAAATCTATGGAGGAAAATATATTTTTCATCGCAGTTTCTCAAAGTAATTGAGGCCTGTCGTACTTGTGAAGATACAAGAGAAAACCATTTATATATTAGTCGAATAAAATTAGCAGTAGTTAACGCATCTTCCGGCAATGACTTTTCCTTAACTGCAATTTCTAATGCGCTAGCTGTTTTCGGAGAAAAAAAACGGATTGCGCCAACATGCATTTTATCAAATTGAGTAGGATCAATATCTTCTCTACGTAAATGATATAATCTTCGGACTTCTTTGCCATTATTTACTTCATCATACCACAACGATTTAATGTATGTACCATCGACTATGTTTGTCGGAAGCCCTTCATATTCCACGAATGCATCAGGAAGATATATTTTCTGTTTCAAAACTGCGGATTTCAAATTTTTTAAAATGTGGCAAACGTCTGGAATGGCGAATATTTCATGTTCGTGAAACATGAAAGAATTCACAAGAGGCCCAAATTTATAAATATTAATCCCTAAAGAGGTCCACAGACTTCTGTTTCTATTATCTAAATCTGAAGATAATGCAAGAATGTGAAAACCGCAATCTTCAACAGATGAAATACATTGAAGAATAAATTCTTTCAAAGCTTGTACATCTATTGATTCTTTTGGCATCACATGACATGCAATGACTTGTTTCCATGAGTTTTTTACTCCTCGAAGTAAAACTAAAAATAATTTTGTGCCAACTACATTGCTAACGTCTCCTAAACTATTAAAACCTATGAATTTACCACTGCTTTTATCATAATCGACTTGTTCAGAAATTACCATTTCATCATATGATAACAAACAATATCTATCGGTAGAATCCATCATTTTTATTTTGAATTTAAGAAGCTGTAAAACATCGTCAAATATTCCAAAATCTACTTTAAAATCTTGCACTCGTCGCATAATAGTACTGTAAGCAGGCAGTGGATAACCAGTGCTACGAAGATAATTATAACCTTTGATGGACAGAGCGAACCTTAATTTGAGAGCTTTAATAATTCCTTCCTTTGACCAAAGTAAATGCCCTAGTTGCAGCTTCCTCATTTGATCATCATTTAAAAATTTTTTCAGCATAGCCTTTAAATCATCTAGCTGTTTATGCAACATTTTGTGCTCATTTTCTGTGCATTCTTTGGATAATGCAGCTTTCAACTGCGCTCGCAAATGTTCATTTTCACGTTTAATTTTAGTGTACTCATCAATCTGTAAAATAATAATAAACATGTAAGTATAAAAATGTTCACTTTGATGTCAAAATATTATTTACATATTATTATTATATAATTTGAGCGAGAGATATATTATATTTAAGTTTATATTTAAGTTGATGGGCAAAGGTTTCAATTTCAAGCTGTTTTATGTTAACATTGTTTATTACGTTGTTCACTTATACAATTTGTACAAGAGTGGTCATGCAAATGTAATAATAAATGAAAAAATAAATAAAAAATAAATATATCATTGCTCCTATTTTATTGTAACATAGAAACTTCACAGAAACTTACGTTTTTCTCAGCAGGTTCATTTGTTTCTGCATTTGATTCTGCAATTAAATCATTTATTTCAAGTTCAGTTAAAACAGGTGTATTATTAGGGTCGGCATCGAAGAGTGTCGGCACAGCATTTGGTTTTAATTTTGCCCAATTATCCGCTCGATGAGTCTCGAACTGTGATTCTTCAAAGTGTTTCTGAAATAAGAAAATTGCTTATAAAGTGAATGTCCCTATTGGCTACAGTTATTCATTTATGTAATTTCTAACGGCGACAAATCTAAACTACATTAAAAAACGATCCGTGATTCTAAACAAACAAAAAAGCTGCGTAAATTGAAAATTTAAGAGAGAGAAACTTACTTCGCAAAGATAAGACGAGTTACTTGGTAACCAAGATTCTCTGCGGAGATTATTTATCCATTGCCGTCGACGAACATCATCCGCAGGAAATTTGAACATTCGATAGCCTTTTTCTGTTCTGTTCGCACAATTCACCGCAACGCAGCAAGGCATTTTTTAGTATTGCTGATTTTTCGTTTTATACCATATCGTATATATGAATAGAAAAAAGAAAATATTCATATTTTCTTTCTATCCTTTTTTTCAGATTCTTGGTCGAGCGGTCACCGAGGTGTGACATGTGGCCGTTATGGTCAAGTTAATAAAGATATATATGAATGGCACTCGGATAATTCCGAGTGCCATTCATCCAAGAACGAACAATATCCTTTTTTCGTCTCGGAAATTTGAGCAAATTAGAAACCGCACTACTATAATCTCACTATATAATCTCACTAACCTATCTACTATAATCTCAACTTAGCGACGAGGCAAGTGACACGAAAAACAAGGAGGGGGAATGGATTAAAAATGGCGGAGTATAGAATACCTGTATATTTAGTGCTCTATATATACTATACTGGAATGTGCACTGCCGTAGGAGAAAACGGGACGAGCGAGAGGGAAAAGTGGAACAATACCTGTCCTTTTCTATCGTCGTACTCTTCGAGCTGAAAACATTGGCTATGTTCAGTGCATAGTATTGAGTTGAATGATGATTAGTATTGAAAGAGGTATACATGTGCGTACAACGATTCGTTCCGCGGCCCCTCTCTCGCGGGGCAAAGGGAGCGTAGAAGTGACCAATCAGCTGGCAGCGTGGCAATAGCTGATTGGTTAGAAGCTATGCTCCCCTTGCCTCGCGAGAGGGACCACGGAACGAATCGTTGTAGCGCAGTGTACACTGCGCTACAACGATTCGTTCCGCGGCCCCTTTCTCGCGGGGCAAGGGGAGCGTAGAAGTGACCAATCAGCTGGCAGCGTGACAGTGACTGATTGGTTAGAGGCTACGCTCCCCTTGCTCCGCGAGAAGGACCACGGAACGAATCGTTGTCGCGGAGTGTACATGTATGGTAAACTAAATAGAGACCATAGACATATATACATAGACTGCGCATGCTATGCTGGCCGTTGAAGCAATTAAGTGAGATAGAAAATGGCTCGGAGGATCTCTTTCTCTCTCGCATAGTAAGAAAAGTGGGGGAAGCAGAATAAGAGTTGAAGTCTTGAGGGGAAAAGAGTTCACTTCCCCCTCCACGGTGTGATTTAGAGTGAGACAGAGATCCCCCGATATTGCTTTCTCTTTTTAAATGTTTGCTTCAATGGCTAGCACAGCATGCGCAGTCTAGTTATATACGTCTATGATAGAGACACTGATGTTAAGACTGATGTTTGTAACGAAGATCATATAAAATGATCGACCAATCAAAATTTACTAGACGGAGACAGAAATCGTTTCAAAGCAACCTGTCCTTTCGATGTCCCGGGCGTTAACAAAGGCAGTGCACATTCCAGTATAGTATAGAGTTCACTGATTTTGACCAATCGCGTTGCTCAATTTGGCCGTCCGTAACCGAATTGAGGAACGCGATTGGTCGAAACCTTATTGATATGTCTTATGAGGTTTGTTCGCGTCGAATGCTCGAATGTACTCCAGAGAGCACTTGGTAACACAAGTAAGATGGCGGTTAGAGCAGATGAGTTCATGTGCACTAACGTTTGGTGACACGAACGGATTTGAGGCACTTTCCCTTCTTTTTTTGCTTCCAACCAATCGCACATTACTGATAATATCTTGATGCTTTTACTGATTTTAATATTATAATTAATAATATTATAATTGATAATATTAATGATGTATTTGTAGAACAAAATCTATTACCCTTGGCTATTAATAATTTTGAAAATGAAAACAATGACGAA